CACACACACACACACAGACCAGTTCACTGAACTCTGCTCAGATGTCATGCAGATTTGCCTCTGTGCTCTCTGCATGCTCTCTTATTTCTGTTTTCTTCCTGAAATTCAATATTTGTTGCAACAGAATAGAATTAGAAAAAAGATGAGGAACGTTTGGTCTAACTTCACACTGGATAGTAAGATACAGTTACTCATGTAGCAGAAGATGTACAAGTCCTGGCTGGTTTGTTGACACCCCTTCAATTCTGGTTATGTTTATGATTAACAATATTTTCATATTGGAGAAAATGAAAAATGTAGGGTACTGACTGTTAAATCCCTTTTTTAAAAGCAAAGCGGTGCAAGAATTGTAAGCTGTTCTGGCTACCCTTTTTGCCACACAAAACTAATATTTCCTTTCTTTGCTACTAACTGGAGCAAAACCATTGAAGTTCCTATTCTGAGTGATTAAATCAATGCTTCAGGTGTGGTTCAGTGTTTGTCTTCTAATATCAGATATTTAACATATCAATGAAAGTATGTTTGTGTACTTCAAATATGAAATCTTTGGTATTTTGTGACAGTAATCAGATATATTTAACATTCTCTAAATTAATGAACTGAAGAATTAGTAGTATTAGAGTATTGAAGTGTTTATTTTGAAGTCCAAACACAGCAATGTTCGGATTTCAGCTTAAATTTGAAAATATGGTGAATTAACAACATTTCAAGGGGTGCCAATAATGCTGAGCAGTCGAGTGCATTTTCATTTTTTAAAAAGACCCCATGAAATTAATTGAATGAGATGGTGCTCTGTGTAGACATATTCATTTACGCTCTAGTAGAGACGCAGTGTTGTCAGAGTTGTGGCTACACTGTTCAGTGCTTTAGTGAAGCTGAATCCAGGTGTAAAAGAAATACAGTAAAGATTCATCTAATTTCTGTATTTATTAACATTTTCTTCTTCAGTCAATTGGGTAAATCACACTACCATGTGGGACCGCAGCAGAAATACTCTTTACAGCAGGAATTTTTAACTCTTCTTAAGCTAAACTTATTCATATTTATTTCTGCTGTTGGGAAATGCAGGTTTAAGCAAATGTGGAGTTATACTGCATTTAGTTCATACAAACACACGCACACGTACATGCATGCAAATCCTCACACACTGAGAAAACAATTAACCGTAACCACAACAAACTACTGGTCTCTCTTCACACCTTTTTGTTTGCTTTTTTTTATTGTGTAATTTGTTTTTTGTAAACAATGTTTGTACTGTGAATGTGATTCATTCTCCGACTGTATAGTTGTGTATAATTTAGATTATTATATTTATGCCGTCAGTCTCTCTATTTGCCTTGATATTTGTTTTTCTTTTTTTTTTTTCAATCCTGAAATGTGTTGACATGTTAGAATGCAATAGTGTGTGTGTACTTGACTCACAGTCTGAAAACAATGGTGCTACATTTGGACTGTACCTGATCTTATTTATTGTATAGTGAAAACATCAAAAACAAATTGAATATTTGGTGCTGTACACAGGGACATTTGTAAAGCCTTTTTTTGGCATTTCCTTTCTCATATTTAATATGCTATTGTCTGGTTCTTTGAATGCCTAGTGTACAACTGTAGACACCACCTTTAGATAAAACTACTCTGCAACAGCTGGCTCAGAGTCTGAGTAAACAGGTATAAGGACTTGTGTTCATGTTTCTCACGCCACAGTTTAAAACATAAGTCGGCCCGCTGCGCTCTCTAAGCGAGCTGCTTATCTGTTAGTGAACAAGACACACTGTTTTTGTACATAACTTTGTTTTTCCTTGTTTGTCTATCATAAACAGAAAGGTATATAAGAAATGTATCTATATACAGTCTATATATTTGAATATATATATATATATATATATATATATATGTATATATATATGTGAATAGGGGTGCTTTGG